GACTAAAGGCCGAAACATCCCTGTGATGGGTGTCCAGCAAGAAACATCCGGTCTTTAGTATGGGATATGATCTCCCCTGACTGCTAGGCAGGTTTCACAGCGTCTGCCCATGCTGAGAATGAGGGTGTCAATGAGTTGTTGAGGCATCGCTGCCCATTCGTCTTGCAGCGCCAATCGAAGCTCCCGAATCGTTACTAAGGTACGAGCCAAGTGGTAAGGTACGAGCTGCCAAGCGTCTGCCTAGAAAAACCCATACATGCTCGATGGGATTGAGATCCGGAGATCATGCCGGCCAATCCATACATTCAATATCCTCACTCTCTAAGAGCTGTTCAGCAGCTACTGTGCGATGACATGGTGCATTGTCGTCCATGAAAAGGAACTGCAGACCCATAGCGCCTCTAAAAAGACACACATATGGAAGAAGAATCTCGTTACAATAACGGGTTCCGTTGACTGAACCTGCGTCGAAGATGTGAAGGTCTGTACGACTACCAAGCATAATGCCTCCCCAAACGAGAACACCGCGACCTCCATACCTGTCCCTTTGAATGATGTTCGAGGGATGATTGCGGCTTTCCCGCTCTCTCCAGATGAGTATGCGATGAGAATAGCTACTCAAACTGAATCTGCTCTCATCTGTAAAGAGTACTCGTCCCCATTCATTGTCTCTCCAATTCCGGTGTTCCCGGCACCACAGAGAACGCCTTCTCCGATGGGCAGGCGTTAAAGGTACACACCATACAGGGCGTCGTGCAAACAGACCACCACCGAGCAGTCTTCTGGCCACGGTAAAACGCGATATCAGTCGTCCAGTCGCCTGTGTCGTGTGTCTAGCGATTTCTCCCGCTGTCTGCCGCCTGTTTCTTCTCGCTTGTAAGACAATGTACCGGTCATCTGCGGGTGCGGTTCCTCGTGGACGACCACTACTGAACCCCGGATAGCTGTTCCTGTAGTTTGAAATTGTCTCCAAAGTCGTGAAACGATGCTGTGAGCAATTCCGAACTCTGCAGCCACACTTGTCACACTGCGGCCTTCCTCCAACTTCCCAATGATTCGACCTCGGGTAAAAGCATCCAGATGTCGTCTAACAGATTGATTATTCGCCATTTCTCACTGAGGCAGCAACTCGGTGTGATTTTAACTGCTATACGGCATGCAATCTCTTGGCCAGAAATACTGATCTTACACCGACAACATGCTTTATACTACTCAGACACTCCCCCATTACGTCTACCTGCATATCTGCGCATGTGCTACCGTACATCACCTTACTTAATCTCCTGATTGGTCTTTCTGTCCGCTCTGCCTCTTCGTTCAGCTTATATGCTAATTTTTCGACTTCGTCCTTATTTTTGCGCACCAGTGTATATATATATATATATATATATATATATATATATATATATATATATATATATATATATATATATATATGTATTGTAGGGAGAGAGTGAACTATAATATATATATATGTGGCATGCAGCCAAAAGCAAAACACAGTCTTCGCGCGCAGGCGCAGCTAATGAGAACTGAAACTGTGGAAACTTTTGAACTAGTGAAAGTAGAACCAAAACTTTTAAGAGAGGAGAAAGGAGAACGAGAGAGGTGCGCGAGCAGGCGTTACCTTCTGCATATCATATCGTCAAACTTATCTGTTAAAATAGCTACCTTTTTTAATTAATTTGTTTAATTTTAAAATAAATGTGAAGTAAGACAAACGTCTTGGACCCCTTGTTGTCTCCTACAAATTATGGGGCCTCGGCCGCGATCGAAAAAATTTCGATTTTGAACCAAAGTTTGGACAATGAACAAAAGCGTCCGTGAAGGAGACGCTCCGCCATTTTGGAAACTTCGTTCAACCTGTGTAGAGGTTTGAACTCAGCATGAATACTCCGCCTGTGTAGAAGCCGGGATTGAAAAAAAATTTCGATTTTGATCAAAGTTTGGACAGTGAAAAAAAAAAAGCCGTCCGTGGAGGAGACGCGCCGCCATTTTTGGAAACTTCGTTCAACCTGTGTAGAGGTTGCATTCTTCATTTGAATCCAGCGTGAAAATTCCGCCTGTGTAGAGGTTAGAACCCATCGACGAAAATTCCGCCTGTGTAGAGGTTGGAACCACTCACATATAACCTGCGAAGAGGTGTCAATTCGAACAATTTCAACTATATTACCTGCGAAGAGGTGAAATCAGTGGAATCGAAATTTTTCTTCAATTATTGGATACATCGTACGTGCGAGCAACAAGAGAGCTAGAAAAAAAAAAAAAGGTAGGATCTTTCCATATTTTTCTAAAATGTATAAAAACGCTCTTAAAGAGGATCTCATAAGAGTTGTTGAGGATCTAGACGGTACTGTGGAGAGTACGGACACCATAGCTAAACTAAAGACTAAAATTGAGAACAGTAGTACATTTGAAAGTGATCCAGATTTCGTTAAAACTTTAATTCAAAACTGTATAGATGAGAGAGTATCGCGAAACGAAAGAGAGGTAACTTTAGAAAAACAGAAAATTGAGCTCGCGAAACTTCAGTTAGCAAAATTAGAAAAAGAAATCGAACTTCAAACGGCTAAAAATAAAGCATTAAGTTTAAATCCTGCAGCTAAAGTCGAAGAAAAACAGTTCGAAACTAACATAGAAAATATGATAAAAAGTATTAGAACTTTATCTCTTCCTGTTCCCACCAGATCTGAAAACTTTAATCTGTTCTTCCAATCATTAGAACGCGCATTTTTAACCAAGAAAATAAATGACGAATATAAATCTGAAATTTTAATAAATCTTCTGGGCGAAAGAGCTCATAATGTCTTATTGTATATTAAAGAAGAGGAATTAAATGACTATGAAAAACTAAAATCTATAGTACTCAGAGAATTCCAATTAACCCCTCGCGAGTGCTTAAACTCATTTAAAAATGCTGTAAAATCATCAGGCGAGACATACATCCAATTTGTTGCAAGATTGACGGCAAACTTCCAATATTATTGTTCGTTAAGAAAAGTTAATTCCTTTGAATCTCTATGTGATCTTATAATTTCTGATAAATTATTTGAAACTTTAAATAAGGAAACTGCAATTCATATTCGCATTCGAGAAGCAGAAGATTGGTTTAGGCCTATTGATTTAGCTAAAGAGTGCGATATTTATATTTCATCTAGAAGCGGATCACATAAAGAAATTCCTATTACTTATGGATATACCGAAGACCCCTTTAAAAATAGATCACAAAACTTTAAACCAAAGATTAAAGAGAACTATCCCCAATATCTTGAAAGAGAAAATAAAAATTGCTTTATATGCGGTGATTCATCTCATTGCGCAAGAGACTGTGAGAAGCGTTTTAAACCTAAAGAATCTAACGACCACATCCATAATAGAATAAACGTGAATACTTTGAAAGTCGAGAGCGAAAAACAAAATAGCGATGAATTTGCACAACTACAATATGTACACATTTTTGTGGAAAATCAGCCCGTAACAGCCTTGATTGATTCAGGTTGCCAGATCCCAGTTTTAAATTCCTCACTAATTAGAGTGAACCAGCCTTCCGAAGAAATCATAACATTAAGTTCATGTTTTGGCGAACAGCGTATGGTAGAAGTTAAACCGATAAATCTTTCTCTTAATCAACACTCTTCCGGTCTAAGTGTTCGAACGGCAATATCACCGACCTTGACCGAAGAATTTATTATACATCCCAGTGTATATGCTGAAATAAAGAAACTAGGCCACGCAAAGAGCGATGTTTTATTGAGTGAAAGTGGATCCTCTTTGGGTGTTCATTTTAATTCAAATGTTTCTGTTTCAAATGTTTCTTTTTCAAATGTGATAGAAAACTCTAGTTGTGATTTGTCACATGTTAAAAACTTTAATACTAGAAATGATTCGAGTTCTCTAATTAAGGATTATAAATGTAATAAAATTAAGAGTACTAAGTTAAAATTGAGTATTATAAGAGAAAAATGTTCTGATATAGTATTGTGTAAGAAAGTAAATGGTGCCATGAAAACGAGTTCCGTGGACTTCAACTCCCAGCAACCCAACCCTTCACCTATGGAGAGTAAACATCGTCGGTTTACAATGCTCCGGAAAATCTTTGAGCCTTGGCAGTGGAAACGAAGGAAAAAGAGAAATCGTTTTGAACAGACGTCCAGAACTCTAGAGAGGAAAATATCGATGCGTTCAACCAAAGAACTCATTAAAAAAGACGTTCTTATGCCTGTGAAACACAATGTTTTCCTGTGGAACCTTCCGGATGTCGAAGAGGTGCCTTCACATGATGGAGAAACTGTCTAGTTCAGAAAAATTATGATATGTTAAATCTCTATGTATTTGTCGTATAGTCCTTGTCTGTTCCGTCTTTTTTGTATGTTTCAGATTCTCCTCTGGTCTCGATGAAAAAGGAAAAAAGGAAGACGTACCGCTGCGGACAGCGTACAGTCAGGCTGGCCGTTGTGGCATGCAGCCAAAAGCAAAACACAGTCTTCGCGCGCAGGCGCAGCTAATGAGAACTGAAACTGTGGAAACTTTTGAACTAGTGAAAGTAGAACCAAAACTTTTAAGAGAGGAGAAGGGAGAACGAGAGAGGTGCGCGAGCAGGCGTTACCTTCTGCATATCATCGTCAAACTTATCTGTTAAAATAGCTACCTTTTTAATTAATTTGTTTAATTTTAAAATAAATGTGAAGTAAGACAAACGTCTTGGACCCCTTGTTGTCTCCCACATATATATATATATATATATATATATATATATATATATATATATATATATATATATATATATATATATCGTTCAAATTTCCAATTGTTAATAAAATATACTTTCTATTCATCCATTCAAGTTCAAATACATTTTTAAAAATTTGTAGTGGATGACACTTGATTTTAATACAGTTTTTTAAAATACTAACTCATTAGTTAAATTAAAAAATGAATAAATAGTAACAAACGAAAGTAATAATTAAATAGCATATATAGAAAGGAAAATCGTTCGTTGTGTCCCTGTAGCGCAATGGATAGCGCGTTGGACTTTTAATCCAGTGGGTTCAAATCCCACCTGGGATGGCATTATTCATGTATTTTAATCTAAGTGACACTAAATATCATAAAAATTATTCATTTATGCGCTTTTTAAAAATCACGGTTCCGAACTTAGTCGGATACCTTAATACATACTGTTTTTTCTAAAGTTTTTTAAATTTCAGAAAGGGGCTGGGAGCATTTTTGAAATTTTATCATAGTAACTTGTTACTCTGCTCAATTCACGAAAACTCAATGAAAATTTCAATGGCTACATAAAAGTTGGCCTTGCGTGAAAAATAAAGTTAAAAAGTGCATTCTTTTCACTCGACTGTCAGCATGGATAATTTGCAAAAATTGCGACAAACGGAAAACCACGCAACGGCTGGTATCGCACGTCATTTCCTCCGAAAATATGAATAATCAAACATGTACAGGAGGATTCCAGGGAATTGATTATTATCGCTTGTTTTTCGAAACCGAGATCTCTTCAAAGGAAGTGCCAACTTCAAATCAGAGACCAGACATTACATTACTTTAACCTATCAATGATTTTACTTGATAAGAAAAAACCTGTACGTTTGTAGTATTTACTCGAAAGTAATTAAAATAAATTTTGAAAATTAAAACTAAATGGAAAAAAGCAGGTTCAAAAAATAAAAATGATTTCTCATTAAATATTAACATTTATACTTTTATTACAAAGTGAAGAAAATAAATTTTATTTGTTTACATTTCAGAAAGTTCATTAAAAAAATTATACCAAGATGTTTTTTGACATGTATTTAAAGCATGTTCCACTTTTAATCATAAGTTTATTTCAGAAATCTAAAGTTGATATATTAGCTTATTTTTTAAATGACAATTATCAAGTACCAAAGACTAATAATTTAGTTCGAAATTTATTTGCTCCCAATCGTTATAATTAAATTAAAACTTATAAAGAATAAGAGTACTGGATTCGAAAATGTATTAACAATATGCAAAAACAGCAATAGAACAGAGCCTTTTGAATTTCCAAGTAACAACGAAATTATTGTAGTTTCTTGTCCGTATAATTTAATCTTTCTTTTTGTTGAGAAATTTCATATTTTCAAAGATTATAATTTTAAAAACTATTTGCATATAATTTATTTACGAATCAACAAGAAAACTTTAAACCAGGGCCGATTTAAATTCAGTTCGGGCCCAGGGCGCTGAAGATCTGAAGGCCCCTTGGCACTGGTGGATAGAAATTTTTATATATATATATATATATATATATATATATATATATATATATATATATATATATATATATATATATATATAACCAGAAAATCTGATTAAATCCAGTTTATCCGAGCCCTTCTGGGCTTCACCGGGCCCCAAGCTAGAGATGGCGATTCATTCCGAAAAAGATCGATTTTTAAATCGATTCGAATCGTAACCTGATGAATCGATTCACGAAAAATCGAGATCTAAAAGATCGATTTTTTTCCAAGTCTGCATTTACAATAAATCCATTTTATGAAAAGCAAGAAAGATACCATAACAAACGGTCTCTTATCAGTAAAGTCAGCGAATTTGACAATTACAATTGTTTTTATAACCATATCAAAGAGTATCTGGTATAAAAAGACATTTATTTTCTAAATATATTTGTTACATTAAAAAATTTGTAAAATAGAAAATATAACCTATAGTTCCCAATGCTTAGTATGTAAGCTTTTTAAAAACAGCAGTCTGTCAAGTAAGTCTACTGGGATCCAAGCGGTTCCGCTCATCACTTGCGATGCTGTTGGCAATCATAAAAAAGGCGCTCACAAGGAACAGATGATCCCCAAATTACTTATTATTCCGTAACAAACACTACATAAAAATGAATATTTATTTCGCTAATCACAGTATATTACGACAGTCAGTCAATCAAGGCCTCAACAAATGACCCAATATCAGCAAATACAAGAAGGCAAAGATTAAAAACGTAACTTTTTTTTATTTGTTTATTAAAGAGAGGCGAAGGAAACTAAGCACACAGGCAGCTCGCGGGTTTTTTAGTTATTTAGCCTTTAACCGTCAATACCGTAATATACTGGTTTTAAAGATAGTACATTCAACTAATTGTAAATAATTGTTATGTTTTTATCAAAACAAAAAAATCGAATGTCAATTTTCTAGGATTAAATATCGACTCACTGCATCGATTCAGTGCTACAAATCGATTTTTTTACTCGAGAAATCGATTTTTCGATTAATCGATCTCAGAATGCCATCCCTACCCCAAGTCCCCAATTGATAAACCAGCACTTATCTTAATAACGAATTAATCACACAAAAACTAACATAACAATATACAATAGAATTTTTAAAAAACCCAAAACCTTCCTTATTTTTATAAGGAAGGAAAATGTTACGATTTTCAGTAAACGAAAATATCTTACCATCCCCAAAGGGCAGCATCGTGGTAGATAAGAAATATGAAAGCCAAACTGTATTCGATAAATCGGAGATCTCTCTCTCTGTCCACGCTTTTATGGTTATCATTTCATGGTTAAAATAACAGCCTGTCCAAGTTCCAGTGCGAGGAGAAATTAGTGTTTGGTGAAGCTATACCATGATTTCATGCTGCGACAAGCCTCCTCGGCAGTAGTAGAGCTTGGATTTGTTTCAACCCACATGTTGACCCCATATGCGAATGAAGCTCATTTAGCATAGTAACAGATAATGTACGCTGGAATAGTCGTTTATCAATCATTGACAGCATGTTTTCAATGGGTTGAAGATCAAGAAAAAGGGAGGGCCAAGAAAACAGAAGAGCCTCATAAGAAAGGAATGCTTTGTGCCACGTTCGGATTTACAATGTCCTGTTAAAACTTGGCCGCAGGCAACCCTTGACTATAGACACTGAGAACTAGTTTATTGTACAGACAGAGCAAAGTGTTTTAAGGGAATGGAGTGAAACCCAATAGAGTAACCCAAACCATGTATCTGCTTACATCTGTATTGTACTGTTTTACTAAAATTCACCCAGATGCAAACTCCATTGAATAGTACGAATTGAAATATATTGTTATGCCAACACACCCTAATTCTTGCTCTACAGGATGCCTCTTTCACAATGTTACATTTTGAATAATTTAGCTGTGTGTAATTTAGTGATTTCTTCCACACAATATGTTCCTTTCTGGACAAAATGCTATGTAAGGTTGTAATTTAAACACTCCTTCAGTTCTTACTTACCATGCTGTTCATACTTATGCTCAGAAAGCCATTGTATTTTTATTAGTATACTGAATACATTTTAGCTGATAGATGAATAGTTTCTAAATGGGTCGCTTTCAATATCATGCTTACACAAAATCATAAAACGGCTTACAAAAGAGCTTTTCTTCTTTTGAGTTTACTTTCGTCGTAAGCAGGTGAAACAATAGTACGAATATATTATATCCGTACTATTATCCGTTATATTGTACTACTACCCGTACTATATTATATCCGTATTCTGCATATATTTAAGAAGTAATAAAGCAAATTGGACAGAATGGATGAATAATTTTGAACAAGAATAAGAAAGACATATCACATGACAGTTAGAGGGTTCTGTAATAAATCAGAATAGATACAAGACAATTTTGCAAACAAAAGATGATATTTTATTCATTTGTTTTACAAATGATGATCATTAGTACCTTAGCCATCAGCTTACGGGCTCTTCAATACTTTTAGACAATATCCTCACAACTAGTAAGTTCAAGACACTTTTTTGCTCGAATGCTCCTAGATCAACGGCTGTTTGGAGTCGCACAAAACACAATTTAGGGAGTTCCTCACTTCATTTCTGTGTTGTGAATATTCTATTGTTTATATTGTGAATATTTCTATTGTTATTATTTTCCGCGAGATAATTTTATGCTCGTTAATTAACACAGTGTTTTGCATAACTAATTTTGTAATGGAAAATGCGCTTTTGCAAATGTGGGAAAAAACGCCTATAATGAAGGAGAGGTAACAACTTATCAACAGATTCGATGTTAAAATCTATAAATTTAAGCAAGAACAGCTCCTAAATTTTATGTTGTAAATTCATTAAAAATACACAGTATTTCTCATACAGCTATCAACATTTTAATGCCATTTAAAAGATTCTGTTTAAAAAACAAACTCAGTGGCGCAACAGCCCATGAGGGCCAGGGTCTAGTGCCCATCCCAATATATATGACCATTGGGCGCTGAGGTATATGAGCGGATGTCCCGATCAGGTGGTCAGACTGAAGCGAGATCCCCCAGTGTTTAAGTCCCCAAGCAAGCTTGGTACTCATTTATCGACCAACTGCAGTATGGATAAAAGACTGAGTCGACCTTGACAAGCCCGCGAATAGAACCCGGACTTGTGGTATGGAAGCGCGATACGCTGCCACTCAACCACTGGGCCTGACATTGTGTTTAAGTGAAATATATTTCTCAACGTGAGAGGATTCAAAAACAAAGTATAAAAACAAGTCAAACGCAGAATATGAAATGCGACTGTAGATAGTATCAATAGACGTAAACTTCGACAATTTGTGAGAAAAAAAGCAAGCACATAACCCAGTTACTAAATGTAATGCACGGGTTGAGGTGACACTTGGATCAAAAACTATTATTAATGAGGTAAATTATATATTATCAATCAGATTAGAATTAATAATAAATGTAATACTTCTTTTAGTTGCCTTGACATAAAGTACATATAACATGTTGATCTACACTGCTGGTCACCGTAAATGCAACACCCTGAAGGAAACATGCAAATAACATGAAATTTACAACATGCATTAGCGGAGGTGAGAGATATGTAAATGATTAGAATTTCAGCGCAGACACACATCACGCGCGCCTGTGGCGCCACCTCAAAGCGCTATTTAAGGCTTGGAGTGGCCAGAAGACTGCACGGTGGTGGTCTGTTTGCACGACGCCCTGTACAGTGTGTATCTTTAACGCCTGCTCATCGGAGAAGGCGTTCTCTGTGGTGCCGGGAACACCGGAATTGGAGAGACAATGAATGGGGACGAGTACTCTTTACA